CACAATCTGTGCATAAAGTTGGGGCTATCTATCTGAGCTCTCCAACGCTGGCACATTGCCTGCAAGCCTCAGGCGCCGCTACACGTAAGCGAAGATCCACTTGGGAGCAGATTTTGCTGCGGCCGCAAACTTCTTCGAAGTTTCATGGCTTTCGTGTTCTCGCCTTGCTGCAGAGATCTCGCCGTCTTCTGTACGTCACGTGATCTTTGGCAGAGTTAGGTAACAAATTTATTCCACAGTCTGCGTCGTCGTCGAGTCAGTTTGCTGTACTGCTTGTCGAATCAATGTGGCTAGACTGGCCTAACTTTCCGATACTTGGGGGTACAAATCGGGTACATGAGTTCCCTCCCACTTTAATGAATGTTTTAGTAATGACCAGTTCATCTGACTCGCTGCTCGCGTGAGGCCATTGAAATCCGTCTTCCAATAGTTGAAGGCTGGCTACAGCGGCAGCATCAGTTCCAAACTGGCTATGACCATCGAGTGGTTACTGACTCCTAGGGGCTCGAAGACCTGAATGTCATGCACACGTTGTTCACAGCTAGTCAAACGCAGCTCTAAGCACAATGGAGTCGCGCGCTCAGTTATGCGCATCAGCTGGTTGATGTGCTGTGTGCCCCTGTTTCAATATCATCTCCGCGAACGCCCTCTCGACTTAACAATGACCGGGGAGAACTTCAGCTTAAGGCCACTGTATCAGAGGTAAGTTGAAATCGCCCACGAACAAGAACAGCGGAAGAATCAGGAGGTTGCAGACATGTAGTAACCAGTCCAAGCAGCAGCTCAGTGGATCGTGAGAAACCATGCCTACGAGCATCTAGAAGTGTCGGAGGTGAATCGAACACCATAACTGTTCACATAGACCGTAAGCACTTTGGTAGGTGCTCACGAGCATCGCACACAAGGAAGATCCTATGTAAAGCAGCATGCCACTGCGATCATTTGGTGGTCTATCACAGCGGAAGCAGAAGTAGTCGTTGATGTTTACTTCTTGGGAAGTTAAGTCAGTTTAACCATGTCTCTGCAAGCCTTATTACGTTTGGCTTCTGAGAGGTTACAAAGTAGCACAGCTCATCGCGTCTGTTTGGCAGACTGCAGAGGTTAGTAAATGCTAAACACAGGCCGCGGTAGAAACCGCCGGGTGCGCTTGAAGCATCAGAAATCTGTTGATACGGTTTCGCGGAGGAATCCCGGTAAATACTCAGAAATTTACAGTATGGAGATTTGTTTCCCCATCGTCCGCGCGTCGCTTTGATTTAATCACGGCGTACTTGAGTTTCCTTCCATCTGCTGGATCTAAGTCAGCACGCACGTGGATCTTTAGACCTTACAGCCTACTAAGGCGGAACAAGATCAAGTTAGGGCTTGCCTCTTCAATGAAAGTAACCCACATAAGTCGACTTTTGCCCTCCGTTCTCCTTCCGAGACGAGCGATCTGCTTCACTTGCAGCTCGCGCTTATCTATGTAGTGCAGTATATCAAACAGGCTTAGCAAAAACTCGACGTCCTGTTCATATTGCACCTGAGAACTGGAATCACAGGATTCAGGTACATGAAAGATCAGAAGGCTGCTGCGTTTCATGTGGATGGACTTTGTGCTCGGCTTCTTTGGTCTTTCCATTTGTCATCTCCACTGCTTACTGCACACCGGTGTTTTAATGTCATAAGATGAAAACGCAGGCGGCGAAGCCCAGCTTACCGGCACGCCAGCGTTTTGCTACAGGGATAGAGTAGCAGGTGTACTGAGTTGTTGATTTTCTGATTGTGGTGTAGGAAAAATCGAGCTGCGCGGTTCAGCGCATTTCACTATACCGATCCAGTTGTGTGGCTTTCCGGCTCTCTTTGGCCCAACCTTAGATTTACATTGTTTACAAATGGTTTCCATAAAGTCGTGCTGGAGCCATTGAATAACGCGAAATTGATCAACGGATAAACCGATGCATGAAATATGGAATTGTACACTGTAAAAGCTTCATATGATCGCGTTTCTGCGAGGACCGATGGTGTTAGAACAGCTACCACAGGGAGACGGTTTTGCCAGTTCAAAAATAAGTGCCGATCGATACGACTGAAGCACGGAAAGGGAGAACCGCAGGAGCTAGAATAAACTAGTACGTTTTCGATAAAGTAATTCAGAATCACTCATAGTCATCAACAACAGCAGTACATCAGCCATTGGAACTGATGCTTCGCTGCCATACAGCCATGATAACCTATGAAATACAGAATAAGAAGAGGGAGAAAAGGGAGACTTACCTGAAAACCTTAATGCCCTAGGCAAACATTCAGGGTCAAGGCGCTTACATCTTGTGTAGGCAACATACCGTCAAACAGCTGGCTCTCGAAGCACAGCAAAACATAAGAACTTCAGTTTAAATTGGCTTGACAGAGACAGCAGCAAAACGCGACCCGGACGGCGTTATGTAACGGTGCTGAGCGACCTGGTCGCTCTTCGTGCATGAAATACACGATGTCGAACGCATTCATAGTCCGTGCGGTATTCCCACCAGATGGCCTAAGCTGCGAAGGCAGCGGATAGCCAAAGGTAGCTAGCCTCTTTAAGTGTCAACCTGAGAACATTTCACAGCCGTAGAGGAGGGTTAAAGGGACGGCTGCGTCGCAAATACTACCATTCAGGGTGATGATGTCGCGTCGGCGCCACAGACGGCACCATGAGCTTTTGCAACAGGGTCCGTGACCACACCTTCGATCACACGGACGTCAAAATGGCTGCCCAGGTACTAGAATTCCTGAACTAACTGATCATTACCAAGGCTCTGTGGGTTCCTGTCGATCTAGAAGAAAGATTTAGCGTTTCGAGTGTGCAAAGCATAACCCCAAAAGGCTGACCGCCAGTGCCAAAATGTCGAGTGTTGCTTGGTACGTTTAGGGCCTGTCACAAATTAGGGCAACGTCGTCAGCACACTCCAAGTCAAGAAACCGCCCACCAGGGAGCAGCTCCACACCTTGTAGGCCGTGTCCAGTGAACGCCATTTTGACTATCGATGGCGGAATTAAATAGGATAGGTGACAGTGGGTAATTTTGTCTCACACCAATGAGATGCTAAATGGCTGCGACCGTTGCCATAAACCCTCGCTCTACCCGAACTATGCGCGCACTGCGCTTTGAAAATGTTTACTTATTTATAGGTTACATTTCCAAAAAGGCACATTGATCCACCGAGTCGAAGGCTCATCTGATGTCGAAGAACACGACTACGGTGGGTGGTCAATAAATATGGCGGTGCGCCTCCAACAACTAAAGTAAAGTGGACATATAGTTAATGTAGCCTCGATTTCGACGGACTATTCTTATTCCTATTATCAATATCATTATTATTATACACGTTCGCTAGAGGTGGAAAACGATTCAGTCATATTGCCGCATCTCGCGAAGCTAATTTTTACACGTGCCAGTCTGTGGAGAACGGCAGAAGTGCGTGTGCGTGTGTGATCTCAACAGTCTAGCAACTAGACAGAGTCAACAAAGCCATGGAGATTAGCAGATAAGGGGAAGTCACTGCGTCATAATCATCGTGGCATGGTAATTGAAGGTGAGCAACACTTCAGCTAATATGCCGCAAGAAAAATATAACATTTTGACAAAAATACAGAACAAAACATTTTTGGTTTGTTTTTCACACGCCGATTTTTTTTGTTTTTGTCATTTTCAATGTTGATAGTAATAAACATGTGAATCAATATAACAGTGTACACAATTCTTCCACTGATTCCGGTTGCGGGCCATGTCTTCAAGAGTGTTAAGCCATTGGCACTTCTCATGTTTGGGTCCCCATCCTGGAAGACGTACGGAACCAACAGCGGCTAGACAAGACGTCAGCGATTGCATGTGCTGCCGCCATGTAGAATGCTGACTACCACGCGGTCGCATCCAGCCGGGTCCTTGACGAGCGAATAGAGCGCGACGCGGCAGACACTCAGGTGCCATGTGTAGGACATGACCGATCCATTTTAACTGGCGCAAGAAAACCAGTTTTTTGAAGGGAATACTTGCATTCCCCAAGATGCGAAGTCGAACGTCATCACTAGTAACTCGATGTTGCTCCCAAACATGAGCGATCCTCCTTAAGCAACCGTTATCGAAAGCAGAAAGACGACGCATGTCTTCCACGCGAATCGGCCAGGACTCGCACCCCTACAGCAATACTGAGCGAACTGATGCGCTGTAAATGCGGCCCCTTAGTGAGAATGACAAGTGCCTCAGATTGACAAATGCTGATAGAGCTTTAGCGATACGATGCGAAACTTCTTTGTTGATAGTGCCGTCAGCAGAAACACAGCTCCCAAGGTAGGTGAAACTATCTGCCTGTTCGTTGTGCACCATCGAGAGGGAACACAGGAGCAGGTGAAAGCCAATCCTTGAGCGGCACTTTACACTTCGATGGGACAAAGATCATGCCATACTTAGATGCTTCAACCGCCAAATGATCCAGAATGAGTTGCATACCCTGAGGATCGTCACCAAGTAAGGCGATATCATCGGCATAATCTAAGTCAGTCGCGCACCCACCCGGTGGAAGCTTTAGGCCAAAATGTTGGAAACCTTCTAGAGCATTGGACAGAACGTCTTCGATTGCGAAGAAATTCAGAGGCAATTGGGTTCGCACCGATTCCATTATGATTGTCCAATGCTAACGCGGGAGGCTCTTGAAAATCGTGACTATAACGCTTTCATACACAATGCCTACTAAGGTACATAAGCATAAAAGTTAAAATTTGCATACAAATGTAAACACATTCTCAAGAATTTGGTCAATTGCTAATCAGCAAGCAACTTGGCTACAAACATGAGATTAATCTCACCTCCATTAAGCCCAGTACATTCGGTTTTATAGGAACGTAATCCAAAGCGATATACCGCTTTTGCTCGTATTTAGAACGTATGAACGTTTCCAAAGCAGAATCTGTCTGGGGTCTTCGAAAATTACTCGGGAGTCGGGCCTCATAGATAGCTCTCGCACGGCTATTGCCAACGTCAACTATTGCCTGACGGGAATAAGGAAAAAATCAAATACCGCCAACTGAGCTGCAGTCCAAGAGTCCAAATTGACAGACTTCACTTTTGATATGTGAACGCCGAGGTTTCTATGGATTCCAGCGCAGCGAATGCACAGAAAAACTCCGATATTCCAAGAAGCCCAACGTGGGCCTAAAAAATCTTTAGCAATATAATATAAAGACCTTTGGCGTCACAATCTACGCAATATTTATTGTCCTCATCTTTTAATAACTCTTGGATGACCAGCTGCAGACGATCCGCCTGAATCTTTTGGCACTTCGAACCGGACGCCGCCATCTCCGCTGGAAACGTCAGCCTCACAACTCGTCAAAGTAAGGAAAATAGGTTGAGTTGCTGGGTTCAGCCAGGCTTGGCTGTTTTAGCAACCTGCGAAGACGACAATTGACTGCACATGATTATTCATGTCTTTTTATAATACTTGCCTAGGTCACTGAGTTTATGGTAGTCAGATGTCAGGGTAAGTTTAAAAGTCAACCGACTGCATACGGACTGCTGTACCGCCAAGCACGCCAAGTTCAAGTTCAAGTGGAACTGGAACGATAGGATGAATCCCGTATGTGTTTCTTCTGGAGCGGGTCGTCGATCCAGGAGGTGATAAGGGTGCTCGGACTTCTTGAGGTATCCAAAAGGAAAACGCCCGAAAAACACCCTGGTCCGTCAAGTTAATGCCCACGTTACTTACATTAGCTGTCCTAGCTATGTCAGTTATGTGAACTCAGTACGAGAAGAAAAATAGAAGTACGCGAGTAAGGGAAATCTGTTAAAAGTAGAGCATAATACCAAGGGCGAGGTAAAGTAAAGAAAATAGTATCGAAGTATGAAGATGGGACTTAGTCAGGAAAAATGAAAGGTTTCGTGTTGCCACCCAAGAGCGTCTAGTTGACGTTCGAACCCCTCAACAGTAGCTTCCTTGAAAGCCTTTGCTGTAAGCAGGTTCCAGCACTCCATGACTCGACGCGATAACATTGTCTCCGCTCTAACTAGATCGAACCGCATTTAGTCCAGCTTCATACAATGCCCGCGGAGACCAGACAACCTAGCAGGACTATATAGCCAAGACAAATCAGGGCCGACCTTTCCAGTCAGAATGCGGTAGGTTAGGGTTTGGTCCCCTCTAATCCTTCTATAGTGCATTGACCGCATCCCCAAACTAAGTGGGCGTTCGGGGTACCTTTGTCCTCGTAATCCCTTGACCAACCTAGTACCGACACGCAACCCCCTTGCTAGTGCCATTTTGTCCCGGACAAGGCATAGTGGACAGGCCTGGACGAAACATTCTAGGTGTGGTCGCAGAAACGCTGAGAAGAGCTTTACAAACACATCAGCGGTTAGGGTCACGAAAGAACGACGGATTAATCACAACATCCGGAACCTTTTACTAGCCGCCTTCTTCTAGTGGTCTCCAGAGTGTAGTGTGGAACAGTGGACGACACCTAGATCAACCTGGTGAGTCATGTAAGGATGTTCGCTCCCAGCGAGCACATAACTTGTAGAGGAAGCAGACACTTCGATACGCAGTACTGAACACTTTGCCCGGTTTATGAGCAGCAACCACAAGACAGACCACTCCCAGAATCTATCCAGATCCCGTTGAAGAGCCACAGGACCTCCAGGAAAATTAACAATATTCTAGAGTTTCAGGTCGTCCGCAAATAAGAGCGATGACACCTTAAGCTCCATCGGCAAGTCATGCACGTATACCGAGAAAAAGCGGCGGGCCTAGGTCACAGCCTTGCGGAACTCCGCTAAGTACAGCTTACTGAAACGAAACACTTATTCCAACACGAATACACTGTTCCCGTCCATCGAGAAAAGATGACACTCAATGGAGAGCGCAACCAGATATTCCGTACGACTTCAACTGCATTGAGAGTCGCGAATGCGGGACAGTGTCAAAGGTTTCGGCGAAGTTAATTCACACCACATCCACCGCATGTCCACTGTCTAGGGCTTCAACCCAGCAATGAGGAGCTACCAGCAAGTTCGCCTGACTCGAAAATCCTTTGCGAAAACCATGTTGCTCGGCACTAAACAGGTTAAACATATTCAAATGGTTCTCCACTGTATTCCGTACTAATGTTGCAAGTAACTTAACGGCCACGCTAGTCAAGCTGACCGGCCTGTAACTAGCCTGTAGGTCTTTGTCACGGTACTTAAAAATCGGGAAGGCGACAGCCGCCTACCGTTCGATAGGCAAAACACAGCTGTTGAATGGCATCCAAAACACACTGGTCAGGGGTCCACTTAGTTCCGCAGCAAATTCGTGCAACAATTTTGGATGGAAAGAAACTGGCCCGGAAGCCTTAGCTGGGTTTACCTCTCTTATCAACCGGGGAATTTCGGACTCAGTTACAGGAATTTCATGCGGACAACCGTCCTCAGATGCTCATGAAGCTAGCTCTTTGCATGGCGTATTTGTTTCGTGGACAAAGACGCTTGAGTACTGTTCACCAAGCACGCACGCTTGGGCATAGTCGCTATAGGCATCGGTCCCATCTCCTCGAAGCAATGGTGGTTGGGCGAGGTTGCACCACAATGTCTTTTAATGTAAGCGAAGTTCTTGGGACTTTTCGAGGCAGTATCAGCTAAGCCCTTTTCATACTGAAGCCGGGCCAATCTAAGGTGTAGCTTGCACTCCTTTCGAAATAACCGATACTTGTCAAACATGCTGTTCGACGGAGCTGTGTGGTACGCACGCCGGCATCTAGACCGCTACTTTAACAGGCCCTTCCCCTCAGAATCAATGCACGGAGGCTGCGATCTCGATTCCCTTCTTTTTACCAATGAGTGGCGAGGTGCAGAAATGTCGACGAGGTGAGCGTTAAGTTTTTCCCAGGTTATGTGAGCAGTGTCGGTTTCACAGTTCACACAAGGCGATGACCTAGCCTTATCACGCATCGCTTGGAAGTCCTCGTCCTTTTGAGTGTTACGTTCCACTGAGATTTCTGAGCGAAGAAAAGGGTATAAAGATGGTACTTAGAGAATCAGTAAGTGAATATTTGGACTTCATCTTTTATGGCGTCCAACTGCTTGTCCTGTAGGAATGTTGTCGCCACTCTTTTCAAAGCAGTGCAGTGTTCTGCGCGTGATCGGTGGACACACACTACATGCTGCGGCATCTGTCCTTATCAATATGTGCTCCTGCAGCTATTTACCTCGCCAGTCATTAACTTCTTTTGTGACAAGTGTCTTGCTTCGTTGGATAGTAAGGCTTTTTCTCGCCGGGCTACCTGCATTGAGCCTTGATTATTCTTCTCCGAAAAAGCCTGACGCTATTCGCGATTCATCTGTTTCACCATGTTCACCATCACTATCTACGGCCGGATCACCCCCATGGTTAAACTAAGCCGAACCACGTCCACTACTCATTCGGTTCCATCTACACAGGTCCTGCCCACTGAGCCCGCCACAGGGTCCTTTGCAGCAGTTGTGAGGAAAAGCGCGGTCTCCGTTCCTATTTGCAAAAGCCCAAATACAAGTGGCGCCAAGGCTAGGCCTAAGCCCGTCGAGAAAACCAATCCCAAGCCATCATCTCAGTCGCAAATGAAGCTAGCTCTCGACAGACTATCTGAAGTAAAGAAAGTGCTCAAAAACATCCGTCACCTTAAGAGCCACACGTTCCTGAGCGCACCCAGCCATCTCGCGACCGTTGTCTCATTATCATGAACCCAGCGGAATCGGAAAAACAAACCCTGCGGGAAGAATACTAGATAACAAAACACGGCTTGAGTGGTAGCTCTCGTTGCTGTTTGCTGAAGGCGAACCGGGGACCAATATTGCACCTGCCTTCCGTCCTGGTATAAAAACAAGAAGATGCATCCAGGACTCGCCCTTTTAAATTCGTTTGCGGGGCTGATGAGGAATGCCGACGCACCATGCCAAGGGCCTCGCGTCTCAAAGAAGAGCCATTCTACGTACTTCGTAACCTCTCTGAAGAGTATCGTGTCAAACTGAAAAGGCTGTCGAAGAACTACGTGCTAGACGAGGAAGTGGTGAAACAGACCCATTATTGTGGATTTTTGAGTAATTCGGAAGTCTCAGAAAACCCGCTGGTAGACCATTCTCCTCACCCCCGGACAGTAAACTATAAGAACTGACTGCGCGTAGGATCCTCTAATGTGTGAAGTCTAAGACATAAGCTAGTGTAGGTTCATTTACTTGCCTCAGAGACTCATCCAGACCTGGTGGCCTTCACTGAAACATGGAGATTCTCAGACGTCACGAACACGGAAATATCTATACCAGAATATCTCCTCACCAGGTCCGATCGCCACGGCGAAAGGTCTGGTGGTGGCGTAATGCCTTGTTGGAAACAGAAACATAAAGCGTATGTGATTGAAGCTATTAGTGACAATGCTAACAATTTTGAAGCCCTCTGGTGCATTGCGCATGACGGACTTAGGTCTCGCGTGGGTAATCGTCTACAGGGGGCCATAAGGCACCGAGGCTAGTTTGTTGGACTTGCGCAGGGCGCACGGCTGAGGCAAGGACTATCTTGTGGCGGAGGATTTCAATGCACCAGGTATCGATTAGAATTTCCTTCTCTGTGATTGCCCAGCCGATCAATTCGATGCCGGCTAGCCGAACAACCTCCTCGTGGTGTCAGCTGGGTGGTTCAGGTTTAACCCGTTCCAGCAAATAGTTCGGCGGCAGTGTTTCATGACGTGGTGGGTTTTGCCTGGCAAGCGTTCTCCCTATAAAAAGCCACAAATGTCTGCTTAACAACACTATGACGTGGTGGTCGTGACCCGCCACAAAATAAAGTAACTGCCCCGTGGATATCCGGATAATTCTATCCAACCCGTGGACAGCAATCTCCTACTCGCATATTGATGATGATGTCAAACACTGAAGATTGGAGCAGCACAACTACAAGCACAAAATACACAGCTACATGCACATACACACACAATGACATACATACATACCCCCTACGCAAACACAAACTGCTAATTCAAACATATCGGATTTTTGCACATTCTTGATCATGTATCGTTATGTCAAAATTATCATACCTGTAAAGGCGTGAATCACCTTGTTGAGCATAAAAGATTTATTTATTTACTCGGAACCGTCTTGGATTGCACTCTTCTGCAACATGTCACGACGCCCACTCCTATTTTCCCAGACCAGACGCCGAACATCCCAGACCTTGTGCTTTTATCAGCGCAAGCAGACATCACGAACTCGGCTGTTATCGAGCTCGTTGGCAGAAGTGATCACTGTGCTCTTTCTTTTCAGTGGACGCGTCACCACTGTCCACTTTTAATGTGCCG